GATGATATTGATTAAGAGTTTGATTTATTTCATTGATATGTGGACAACGATCTTTTGATTGAATTTCTTGATTAATTTTTCTTGATCGATGATAGATATTTTGAACAAGAATTAAGTAATAATTTTTATTATCAAGTTCAGTAAAAATAATATGAAATGGATATGACCAATAAAGTATTGCTGTTCTTTTATTAACAGGAATCATTTGATATGTACTACCATTGATTGGTGGAGAATCATTAAATACTTCAATGAAATGAACAAGTATTGATTGAGATAATTCAATATTTTCATGAAATGACAGATTAATTTCATTATCAATTATTTCACATCTTAATCCACTAAAACCTTTTTGACAGATACATTTGAATTTTTTATTAGACACAATATATTCATCAGTCGGTATACATTTACCACCATTCAGACATGTTAGATTTTGATTTGAATTACATATTCGACTTTGAAATAAACATTGAGAACCCCATTTATTAAAAGGGCAAACACATAAAGATCGATTGTTTGGTAAAATACCAGTGCATAATGAATCATTTGAACATGAACAATGATGTGAAATGTTACAATATCGTCCAGCCCAGTCTTGATTGCACTGACAAAATGTAGTACCATTTCGATGATCTGAATATTTCATACATTGACCATGAATACAATGTTGATTTACACAACGTTCGATTGTATCAGTTGTACGTGGAATATTCAGTTGTACAGCGAGACGATGTACAGGTAGAAACGAAACTTGAATTGGAATTAAGAAGCTTCTTCGATAGGTAAGAGAAATCTTTTCATAGATATCGATATGAATGGAATAATTTTTCTTTTCATCTTTTGGTCGAGTCAAATATAATAAATATATATTGAATTTAATCTGGCAATCTCGAATATATAAATAGCTAAACTGGTGATGTGAATGGATCAATCGATCATCACTATCATCGATCAGTAAGACCACAATAGCAAATAGAGTTTGTCGAGAATCAGCATATGTTTGAAATTGTAAAGTAAGACTAATCCGTTGATTTTGATATTGACACATATTTCCATAGAAACTAGGTGGACATAAACATGTTTCAGTAGTTAAATTTTTTTCATAATCTAGCCAAACTCGTAGAAGTAAACCACGATGACAATGTTGTTGTTGTTGACGAATGATTTCTTGCGTAATAGATAAAGGTAGTCTTATAATTGTTGTGTTTTTTTTGATAGAGTTGTTTATTTTACCCAATGAAAAGATTTTCACGCGTAGTTTGTCCATTTCGAGTTTACGCTGACGAAAAAATTTGTCAATGTCAGAATCTATAAGCACGGATGAAGAATAGTTCCAATTTTTCTCACAAAAATCATAATTAGTTTCATTGCATACTGGATCATGACAAAGATTTTCGTACGTAGTGCAATCACTCTTTTCATCATTCCTACAATAAATATTAACATTGCCCTTGGAAAACTGAGCAGATCGACATAGCTGAGGTTCATCGGTAGCACCAACACAATCTATATTACCATCATTAGCTTGTTTAAGTGGTAAACACATTAACTGATATATTTCAGGTGAGACACATATATGATTATGAAGTGGACATGATAATGCTGGTGATGGATCACAATCTACTTCATCGGCACCATTTAAACAATTCCAAAATCCATCACATCGAGTATATGAATTATTACATATCCAATAATCGCATTCTGTCTCATCCGTTTCATATCGTTCACCGATCTCAACTGGTATTAGTTCAGTAAATCCATCACAAATCGTTGGAAATAAAATATTAGTTTTAATGTAATTATCATAGAATTCTTTATCATCACATACACCATATTCATTAAGTCCACAATTACATATCCCATCGTCAACTGATGTCGCATGAATGACAATGCTTTGTGTAGTACATTGTTTAAAGTGATGCAAATCAGAATTCAAATACGAATCCTCAATTAAAGAACATTGCTCATCATCTTTGTAATCACAATCGTTGATTTCATTACAAAGAAGATTCTTGGAAATACATTTTGAAGAGTTAACACATTTATACATATTTAATGTGTTACAACTTAAAGGTTCATTGTGATTCACTGTGTTACATTGATGAAGGTATGTAAATGAGTGTAAAGCATACATACCATTCCACATTCCTCCATTGAGCCTGTTAGGCAAATTAAATCTTAATGGAAAATCTTCAGAACGACGACATGTTGCATTATTGAATGTTAATAATGTTCGATTCAAATAGAATCCACTACAAAGTTGATCATTATAGCAGAGATATCGAGGTTTTGGTATATATAGATTAGGTTCCAACATATCTTCTTTTGTATATAAAAAGTATATATGTCCAAATATAACTGGACTCGATGGCATATACAGCATATTAGGGCATGTTTGATCAATTATTTCTGTAAAATTTCCATCGGAAGAAATATCATCACATATTAAATCGGATGTTATGTTTATGTTCCATTGACAATGAATAGCTAACCAACAATCATTCGATATGTTTTGTGGTTTGTCAGTGAACATCAATTTTTCTATTAAAGCTGTACGTTTTTTAACACATGAACTTGTCATCTTTACTCGGAATGGCGTATCACGTTTGGAACATGTCACATCTTCTGTTGAAAATGTTGGTTCACTGCTCGTATTTACAAAGGTATGTGGATAAGGAAGTCTCTCATCTGATCGATCAAGACATTCAAAAGCATTATAATCATCTTTAACAAATATCTTCTGTATACATCGTTCATTCAGACATCTATATTCATTATCTTCACATCGATTCATATTCAATTGCCAACAATATTCTTCATCGATTCCATTTCGACAATCAACAATACCATCACATATTTCACTCCAATCAAGACATAATGATATAGAACCACGATCACATTCTAAATGAATATAACATGTCAGTGTTGTTGGTTGATATTCATGTAAATAATAATCATGAATCATTTCATTTAATGTCAAATGATCAGATTGATAAATGTCTAATGAATATTCACATAATGGACCGAATCGAGGTGGTGTACAATTATAAAATCCATTTATTGCCATTACTACCGATGTATTTGAAATTAATCGATGATTTAAATATAATTCATAATATTCAATGATATCCAATGGTGTTGACCAAAGATATAATT